AGTAATTTAGAAAAAACTGATAAATATGATATAATAGGTCTTATATTTAGAACCACAATTAACTTAATAATTATGTCCTATATTAAGTATAGGAGAAGTACTAGAAATATTTTGTGAGTAAACATTAATTTTCGGTGGCTTCGACAGTCGACACCCTTGGATTCCTTTTGAAAAGAAAACCACTGAAAAATACTTAAGAAAATCAAAAACTTCTCAACTCATGATATAATGATAATACATGTAGGTCAGTAGATAATATATATTTTTTGAATGGTAGATAATATATATTTATATATATACAAGAATTCATTCCCAAATCCTCTTTATAAGTTATTTGTAACATATTTTACATAAATCAAGAAAAACCTTAAACTTCATTAACTCTATGTTAAAATTTAATAACTAATTTTTAAATTTATCTCCATTTAATATATATTATATCTCATAAAAATAAAGTCAATATAATAATAAATTAAGAGTAAAATTATACCTTGATATGAAAAAATTTTCTCTTTACTTTGTAAATCGGACTAGATAGAGGAGTAACAACTAAAGCATATGAAGACTCAATGACAAGAAGTTTCTATAAAGTGCCAACACCGTTACCTATATGATAATTGACTACATAAGTTTTTATTTGGTGGAGGACAAAAAACAAAAATTCAGACACATGTATTACAAAGAAAGCTTGCATACATACACATAGTGCATTATTATTAGCTGTGGCACTATTAATTATTGATATGATATAGATGATGAAGGGGAGGCTGGTGTGTGATAAGTAGGCAGTGACACTTTCACCCTTTACGTACAACTGTAGAAGCAGAAGCAAGCTGGGTCAGGAAGAGCAACACAACTTCCCGCACCAGCGCCCTCGCTGTGGCACGCATCATTACAGCGGCCATTGTCCCCGCAATAGCCAGAGAATTTTGTGCTAGCTCTGCTGCAAAGCGCTGCCTCAACATTTTCTATGTACATTAACAACAACAAATCAAGTGAAAAGATATGAACATATAAATGGATTGAAGGAGGAGCTTTCTAATAGAAAGTTATTGAATAGTGAGTTACCGGGGAATATGCATATATAAGGACTGTTAATACTAGTGCAAATTGTTAATTACTACCTCTAATCATTAATTTGGGAGTTAGATAACTAATTTGTAAATATTAAGAAAATTAGTTAAGTTAGCTACTTGTCATAAATGGATGTTATTTTTTTTCTAAAATATTCTTAGGTTAATATAACTTTGATCTTTCAAATTTGTTCTCATTTTAGTTTTGGTTCTTCAAGTTTCAAACCATAAGTTTTGGTCCTTCAATTGTTTAAGTGTTTAATGGATTATGGGAACTCATGTTATAAATGAAAAGAAACTTGAGGGATCAAAACTTATAGTTTGAAACTTGAGAGACCAAAACTAAAATAAAAACAAATTTAAAAGATCAAAATTTGTATTAACCTAATATTCTTTGATAAAAACCCCTTAACTTATGTAATCACCATAGGAATTACTAATTAGGAGCAAAATAGAAAAACATTAGAGACAAAATAGATTAAGTCTTATGTTTATAATCAAATTGGATCTCTAAGTAATTCTTATATCAAAGACTCGAGGTAGTATTTGAGCAAAGGAAGTGGTAAAAACTCAAGTGGGTATTTAGACATTGGTAAAACAAAACCAACCGTTGGGACTAGAAAGCACGAGGGCAATGCAGAGGAAGGCAATGAAGGAAGACAGCTTAAGAAGTGAGGCAACCATGCGTGGTAATACTGAGAGTAATATATCACAGTAGAGGGAGAGAGATGGAGAGAGAGGGAGCTTGATTCGATGCCCAAGTTGAGGACGATGAAGGACTATATGCATCTCCATATATACAAATTAAATAGATACACACAACTATCTTCATGGGAACCATCGCCTTTTCGCAGTAAATGGCCTGTTTTTTCTCTTTGCCTAAGACGTTGGAAGTGTCATCATATGATGTCGAGGAGATTTGGTCTTATGTTGCAGTCGCAGCTTTGAAATTATCCACTTTGTCCATATATGCATATTTTAATTGACGGATGTGATGGGGTTTTTAGTAGTTTAATCCTTTTCTGTCCTAATTGCTCTCTATTGATAATTGAGTTCGTATTACCTAAACAATAAATAAGATTTCAAAGGTGATTCTTAAAAATATTTTTTTTCCTATCATTTCAGGTTTATTGGGATTAACCGTGTGTTTGATAAATCCCATCTACTTTTATTGAAATGCACCAATCCACATTGGATTAATGGGTCTGGAATCAATCTCTACTTCATTTTTGCCCCGAAAGAAAAGGCGAGTTTTAGCGAGGAGGGTAAGATTGTGATATCAGAAAGTTAACATGAATAGTTTAGTCTGACAAAATATTTCTCTCCCATTCCCAGAAAAAAATCCGGGAAAGAAGGGAAAGGAAGCATAATGTAAAACACAATTTTTTCCCTAACTCCGCTCTATTTTTCCTTCTCAATCCCTCCCCTTCCTGCAAAAATAAAAAAACCCCAAACAAGGCCTAAAATTTTCTTTGCTCGAGGAGTGATTCAGAGTGGGTTGTCTGCCACTGCGTCGATTGGAGTCTCTCGTGTTGCTCACATGAACTGAAATGGTTCTCGGCTTCTCGCATTGCTGGCCTGAAACTGAGATTGAAAGCTGCGTGGGTACTTGGAGGTTGCATTTTCACTGATTTGCTTTCGAGCTTCGTTCTCCCTCACTTGCCTCAGGTTTGCTTTCTTAGGTCTATTGGTCTTGTTTTTCAGTTCCTGGTCTCTCCCCTGATGTTGGCTCTGTCGTTCACTGTCTGACACTCATTATGTACAAGTTTGCGTACACAAGAACAAGATTGGGTTCGGAAACTTACCTGTAAAAAAACTTATTTTTATAATCTTACACTCGCTGGTTGCGCGCATTTTTTTTTTTTGTCATAGAATCGAGAAGGGTTGTCTCCCCACTGCAAACCCCTCTTTTCTACACAGACACACACACGTTTTCTTGGTTACATTGGTTGGCTAAAGAAATCTGATTGCTAATCATGGAATGTTAACCATATATTGAAAATAAAATATGAGGAACTGAAAAATGAATCAATACCAAGTGGCTGGAAAGAAAAAGCAGTAGTGAGAAACATTAAAGCATTGTAGGAAATAGCAAGAAAATTCACGGGCAATTGCTTGATTTGACCAGTGAAAGAAAAAAAAAAAAATGAAAGCAGGACTCGTAAAACGAAAGATTATAATCTTTTACCAGTACATTTAGTAGATCATAAAGATGAAAGAAGAAGGGGAAGGAGAGAAGAGCGACTGAGTGAGAGCGAGCACGCGCACAGAGGGAGGGAGGGAGGTAAAGAAGGTGCAGCTAAGGACCCTCCATTTGTCACAAAGTAATGAAAACCTATTTGCTGTCCGATGTGCAGCTCAATGCATTAAAATAATAGGTTTAATAAAAAAAGGAAGTGTCTTGGACAAAAGCTTATTTTGTTCTCCTTTTTAATTTTTAATTACGGCATCTCCTATGCATTTGTATCAAGTTAGATATGAACCATTCTATTCCCTTTATTTGTTTATATTTTATCTTCCATGTTGAATAGAAATATTTTATTGGTGTACTGTGCTGGTTTGTTTTACTGATATTATTTTAATGGCTTTGTTTTAGTGTTTTATTACTTTGTAGTTTTTGTTGGATTATTGTGCGGACATTGTTGATCATGGATGACAATAATGCTGAAGGAAATGAGAATGCCAACCCCACTCCTATTTCTACCAATAATCCCACTCCTGACTTACCCTCATCATTCCATGGGACTGCTAAAACTGATCCTGCATGGGCATATGTTACATTTAAAAAAGAGGGAAAAGTAAATGTTTTTACCTGCTTTTTTTGTGCATCAATTTATAGGGGAGATGGAATAAATAGGATGAAGTAACATCTAGCTAGTGTCACTGGTCAAGTGTGTTCTTGTAAAAAAGTCCCTTATGATATACGTGTCAGAATGAAAGAATCTTTGAAAGAAGGTGCAAAGAAAAAATCTGTTAATGATGTAGAAGACAACGTTGAAATTAGGAAAATTGAAGAGCCAATTGTTTCACCTCGACTTAGGATAGGCATTGAGAATAGTGGCAACAAGAGAAAAGCTCTTAACACTAGGAGGATTGATAATTGTTTTGTTCCTAGGACAATTCCTGGTTCTCAACCAAGCCTCAACAGTGTATTGTAAACTAAAGAAGCACATTATAATGTCAAGATGGTTATTGCTCAATGGGCTATTATTAATTGCATTCCATTTAGTGCATTAGATTTTCAAAAAGTTGTTGATGCTATTGCTTCAATTGGGCCTGGGTTTAAGGTCCCTAAATCTCATGATTTTAGAAATACATTGCGGGGAGATTGGAAAAAAGAATGACAGTTAATGATTGAGAGTCATCGTGGAAAATGGAAAGAAAATGGCTATACACTTATGGTTGATGGTTGGACCGATGGTAGACTGTAAACTTTAATTAATTTTTTAGTCTATTCAATACATGATATGATATTTATGAAATCAGTTGATGCTTCAGATTTAGTTAAAGATGCCAAAAGTTTATTCTATTTGTTCTGTGAAGTTATTGCTTGGGTTGGTCCTGAAAATGTGATCCATGTAGTGACTGACAATGCTGCTAACTATGTGGCATGTGGTAGATTGATTAAAGAGAAATATAGAACTATTTATTGGTCACCTTATGCAACTTATTGTTTAAATCTTGTTTTCAGTGATATTGTTTCCATGCCTCATGTGTCAAACCTTACAACAGAGGCATCTAAAATCACTATATTTGTATATAATCATATGAACTTTTTGTCATGGCTAAGGAAAAGACCCGGTTAGAAGGAAATTGTACGTCTTGGTGTGACAAAATTGCATTGAACTTCCCATCTACGACGGAAGGTGCCCTACGGCGTGAGACGGCATGCCAAGGGCCGACGCGAGGATCAGCGCCTTCACTATTTTCATTTGCAGAACGGTTCCTTGAGAATGGTTGGAGATTGCCTTTGTGTCACTGTGTCACTTCTCATTCTTTTTCTTTCTTTCTTTCTTTCTTTCTTTTTAATTTTGCTTGCTTGCTTTTGCCGCCTTAGGAGGGCTTAGATGATTTTTGAGTGTTTGATGTATCTCACGGTTGTGATTAAACTAGGGGCACCTGCATGTTACCAATTCCCACTCCCTTTCACGGGCACGGTCAAAGTCGAAGGTAGTGACTCTTGTGATAGGAAATATGGGAGATTTTATTCCAAAAAAAAAAAAAAGATTTTTGTCCTTTCAAGTTTTCAATTATATTTTTGTAAGCATCCTTCTTAAACGTCAGTTCGCTTTTTGTGAGTTTGCACCTTGTTGTTTAATTTTATTTTTATAAATTAGATTTCTTCATGGGTAGGAAAGCTTGATCTATAAATAGACGTTAATAGCACTTGCATTTCAGTCTTTGATTAATGAGTATTTGATGGTTTTGTGATCTCACCCACTCGTTTGCTGCCTTCTCAATTTTCCCTCCATGTTTTGTTTTGTTTCTCTTCCTCCATGCTCACTGATCTTTTGCATTTTGATCCTTTTAGCGTTAAAATGGAACATGGATTGGGCTTACCACTTGCTTCAGATGATGATGGAGACAAAGAATATTTAATGGAGTTGAGTATAACAGAGTTGGTTTCAAATTTGAGAACTGCATTCCGTATGATTGACTATGACCGCGTGGAGGAGGTCTTGGTTGAGAAGGAAAACAAATTAAAGGCTGAGATTAAGGTACTAACTGATAGAATAGAATTAGAGAGGTTAGAGAGGATGAGTGTTCAAGATGAATTGAGGAAATGTAAGGAGCAATGTGAGATAAGGCAGCATGCTGAAGAGAGATATGAGAAACTGTTGGAAGAGGTGAAGAAGAACAACGGCTTAAATGATGGAAATATGATTGCTGAGTTGAGGATTAGGAATGCTGAATTGGAGAATGAAAAACGTAAGGCTGATGAGTCATGGAAGAAAAAAATTGAGGAGCTGAGTGAACGACTTTTGATTGTGGAGAAAGGTGCAAACTTGTTTATGAATGGAGAAACTCACTTGGGAAATGGAGGAGAAGGTGAGGAGCTGTCTGAGCTTCAACGAATCATTGATCCAAGGGTTTCTAATAAAGTCATTAGCAAAAAAGATATGAGTGATGTAGATGTATGTGATAATGAGCATAAAAATATCACAGCAGGGGCACCTCCTTCGCAGAGAAAGGACCTCAAGTCTGTAAACATCCATCCATCTGCTGTTGAAGTCACTAGGCAATCCCCGGACTCTCCTAACAAGGCGGTGCTTGGTACATCAGGTATTGAAGTTTAGCATGCATCTCTTTTCGCTACTTTGATATGCATGGCTGATTTTGGCTTTCAAATTTTCAAATGTCATCAAAATGATAGGATAAATTAAACTTTGATTTAGCTGTGGTTTAGGGTTAAAAAATCTCAACTTTGTGGCTGCATTAGATGGCACATTGTCATTTCTTGCTTTATTAAGGCTGTGTGTGATGCGCTTACAAAACACATAACATTTTTCATGAACAAGTAATTAACTGGGTCCAATCTTTGCACCAGTAGAAAGGTTCTAAAATTTATTTAAATAATTTTGGCTTAACAGATTATTTCCTTAGGAATTTAAAGGATAAGGTTAATAAAGTTGTTTATATTGAAGGGAAACAGAGGGGAGATAATATCCTACCCTCTGTTTGGAACTTTAGATAAAATACTAGGGAAATAGATCATTTGTCTTATATTTAGGAGACAAAAAAAAGGGAGTGTTAGTTAAGTTTCAATACAGGGGTGAGAGGGAATTCTTCATTCCATCAAAGGTGCTGCTTATTTGCAGGGCAACTGTGTGAAAATTTGCAACGGAACTGTGTGAAAATTTGCAACATATCAATAGGGTACTCTGGACACTCAATTCTTTTAAAGGAGTATGATTAAACTGATTTGATTTTGTACTGATGAGAAGAAGCATTCAGATATATAGTACTTCTTATCAATTATCCATTAAATTATCTCTCTTCTTTTGTTTAGGTCAAATGAATTGGGAGAATTACAGCAAATGAGAATTTTGAAATTCGCTTTGCATCTCTTTTTTCTACTTGGATATGCATGACTAGTGCTTCCCAAAAAAGTCTTGATTGAGATTAGAATGATAGGATGGATTAAATTTCCTAATGTTTTTGGATTAAAAATCTCACTTTGGTAGCTGCATTAGTTGCATATTGACATTTCTCGATTTATTAGGATAAGATATAAATTGCATAACTGTGACTAATTTTATGGAAACATGACATTTGTATAGATTAATGAATTATTGTGTACATATGGTGCATAGATCAGGTAGAAGGATCAATTTTGATGTTATATCAAAGTAGAATGTGTTATTACTGCTACTTTATGTTTGTGTACTATTTCTAATTTGATTGTTTTTCCCCTTAAAATTAATTTATGTATTCAATTCTGTGTATGTTATTTCTTAGCGAAAAAAATCAGTTGAATTCTATGCAAGTGCATGTGGTTAAGGCTAGTCACATAAATTTTTTATTGTGGGATAACGAACCATGTTTTTAGTTGTCTAATGAATAATATCAATAAAGTTCTTTATGTTGAAGGGAAATAGAGAGATGTTTACACCGTGCGTTTGGAATTGTAGTGCAAGTACTCTGGTAATTGATCTTCTGTTATACATATGTGGTAAAACCAACAGAACCGAGGCATGTTTCAATTTAGGGTTAAGTGGGATTTTTTCATTCCATCCTAGGTGTTGTCCATTTGCATGGGTTCTGTGTAAAAATGTGCAGCATGTGACTAGGGTGCTCTCAACTCTCAATTTTCTTGAAGGTATGGTGATTGAGCTGATGTAATTGTGTGTATGGAAGAAAAGAAGCATTCAAATCTGTGAAATTTTTTTTGGGCAAATGTTCTTGTAAATTTTAGCATACTGCATTTCTTAGTCATGAAACATTCTATGGTAGTTACTATGGATTATCGATAAAACCAGCCCTCTTCTTTAATTCGGCTTTGTTTTTGGTGAAATGAATTGGGAGAACAACAGCAATTAAGAATTCTTGCTTTTGGAGGTTGTGATTCATCTTGCTTCTTTGTTGTTGACCTGATGGATTTGTGACAAGAGTTCTGCATGTAGATAGCCTTTGATATTTAATGATGCTTGTCCAGGGGTTTCCGCTGAAGAAGACACGGACAGACATGATAATAATGAAGTTGATAGAGATGACCATGAGTGCAGAAATATCACTACAGATGGCTGTGGAAATGTCCATCTCGTTGTTGATGATGATGCTAGGCAATTCCCAGACACTCCGAACACAGCTGACCTAGGTGCATCAGGTATGGATATATAGCATGCATCTCTTTGTGCTGCATGGATATGCATGATATTAGATAAAGAGAGGATCTAAGGCTAGAGTTTCCATTATGTTTAGAAGTAGCAACTGAGAATGCAGTTGATATACATAACTGTGGAAATAATGCTGCAGGTACTTCTCCATCTAAGAGAGGCGATTTTGGAAATACCTGTCTCACTGATGATGATGATGATGATGATTCAAGGCAATCCCCAAACACTCCAAACATAGCCATGCCAGGTGCATCAGGTATGGATATTTAACATGTATTGCTTTTTGCTGCATGGATATGTATATTTAGATAAATAGAGGATCTAAATGAGGTGAATTGGGAGTGATAGCAAGAATTCTTTTTTTTTTGGAGATTAGGATTCATCTTGCCTCTTTGTTGTTGACCTGATGGATTTGTCACCAGAGTCCTGCTTGTGGATAGCCTTTGATATGTAATGATGCTCGTCCAGGGGTTTTTGCTGAAGACATGGACGGACAGGATAATAATGAAGTTGATATGGATGACCATGAGTGCAGAAATATCGCTGCAGACGACAGTGGAAATGCCCATCTCGCTGTTGCTGATGATGCTAGGCGATCCCCATACACTCCAAACACAGCTGAGCTAGTGCATCAGGTATGGATATAAAACATCCCTCTTTTTATGCTACATGGATGTGCATGATATTTAGATGAAGAGAGGATCTAAAGCTGGACTTTCTATTATGTGAATGCAGTTGATGTACATGATCGTGGGTGTGAAAATACTGCCGCAGACACTTCTCCATCTCAAAGAAAGATGGACGATCGTGGAAATACCCATCTTATTGATGATGACAATGATGATGATTCAAGGCAGTCCCCAGACACTCCAAGCACTGTTGTGCCAGGTGCATCGGATATGGACATTTAACGTGCATTGATTTTTGCTGCATGTATATGCATGATATTTAGATAAACAGAGGATCTAAGGCTGGACTTTCCATCATGTCCAGAAGAAACAACCAAGACTATATTCAGTTTATGGAATATAATCATCAATTTCTTAGCTTTTGGTTGCAAAGTTTTGTAGGCAAAACTTATTTTTCTTCATGTATGTAGGTCTAATATATCTTTTCTTTACCAGCTAATGCAAGTATGGGATCACAAATAGCTGTTATTGAGGTCAAAGACAGTGATGATGAGGATGATGAGTGTTTCGCAAGTGGAGCTTTGAAGGGAAAGGAAGCGACTTGTGGCGTTGCAGCAACAGGTGATGATATTGGACATTCAAATTTATCAAGACCACAAAGAGCTTTTATTGAGATCAAAGACAGTGATAATGATGATAACGGGTTTATCACAAGTGGAGCTTTGAATGAAAAGGAAGCAACTCGAGACACTGCTGCAGCAGTTAATGATATTGGGCATTCGAGTTTATCAAGTTCATTTCTGCAGGAAAGCAATGCTAGCCCTGTGAGAGTAAATGAGACGATTGGATCCCTAAAAAGAAAATGGTTTCCAGAGCCTGAAAATTCATTTGATGGATTGAATAAAAATCTGGTGGATGGTTCTGATAGTGATGATGATGATTCCAGTTCCACATCCTGTTCAGATTCCGAGATCAATGAGGTCGAGCTTCCTTCAAATTTTCTTTGTAGCACAGGTGGTAAACGGAGAAAAATATAGACAAGCATGGCCTTTGCATTAAGCTCTTTGCACAGCTGTACTTATGGAAATATCTCTCTTTTTTATTATGCTCTATAACTAGTCTTTTGGATACTTAGGCTATGTTGAAAATTAGTGAAAGCCAAATGCTAATTACTTCTTACCAAAGTTTCTCTCTCACTTTAGCTGATGAATCAGGAATAGTTGGTTCCCAACCGAGCTTGTACAAGTCAGGCCAAAATTGTTTATTTTTCACATTGGGGTTTATATGTATTGTACAGTATATTATTATGCTTAGTTCATCAATATCAATATATACACACAAACTCTACCACCAAGCCGCTCTCAAAATGGCTTAGCATTGGCTCCACACCCAAATCACTATTCACAAGACACTAAATTCTTGTCTTGGGCATCGTGTATTGTGGCTCAATTAAGTGGCTGTGTGTAGCATTGTTTTAAGAGGCTTTGAAATGTAATCAAACAAAAGCCATTGAAAATATTTCTCTTGCTTTTTTTTAAACATATAAAAAATGTAAAACTAGAAATATTATTTTTGAAGGATGTTGAAGATTTTTTTTTAAATTATAGATTAGTAAATTATTAAAAAAATCTTAATACTATCTTTTATTATTAATATAATTTTATAAAATCTTATTTTGTAAATTTATTTTCATTTTAAATACAAGACAAGAATTATTGTTAAAAATAAAATATTTTCTCTTTCTTGCCTTTTTTAAGTATTCAAAAAAAATGAAAATAGAAAATTTCTTTTAAGGCAGTTATTGAAGATTATTTTTAAATTATTCCATATCCTTAGAAATTACTTTTTAAATATTAAATACAAGATCAAAATTATGGTTGATAACAAGATATTTTCTTTTTCTTGTCTTCTTTAAATATTTAAAAGACGAAAATAGAAAAAATATTTTTTATGGTGGTTGTTGAAGATTGTTTTAAAATTATTCCATATCCCTAGAAATATTATTTTTTATGAATCATTGAAGATTATTTTTACAAATATTCATGCTGGTAAAATTTTTTTTTACAATTATTCACTATTCTTATAAGTATCATTTAAAAATAAAATCTTATAAAATTTTCTATTATTTGTTATAATCTAATAAAATTTTAATTTTTAAAATTTATTTTTAAAATCCATGACAAGAATTATTATCAAATATATAATTTTTTTATGTAACTTTAAATAATCAATTATATTGTGAAAAATAAAAAATATCAAAGGTGGATATTAAGAAAAAAATATAAAACTTCCATCCTATTTCAATTTTCATAAGACAGTTTGAAATCAATGGAGAAAGAAATTTTTAATTTTCACGGCACGGCTTGAAGCGGGAGAGAGAAGCTGCTGTCATGAAGGCTGAAACAACGGAAAAGCTAGAATAGAGTGAAGCAGGGCCTTCATCATCGCAGTGATGCAGAATTACATAAGGCTGAATTGCAGGTGGCGCAGAAACATGAAGATGGAGAAGAGGACAGTGAACTCTAGATTCTAGAGAGCATATATTTCCATTTTGGGTTGGTCCTTGATGCAGGCAATGTTCCATTCAAATACAAAATTCAAAATCATTTGACTAGCCCTCCTTCAAGCATCAAAACTGAAAGAAAGATTTCAAAAGGTTCTCTCCCCTACATTCTCATCTCTCTAATCCTACGGTTTTCAAATTTTGAATTTTGAATTCGGCATCTCATACATTTAAACCCGCTCCCCTGACATTGAATCTCACCTGGTTTTCCTCCATCGGCTTTTCATCGATTTTCTCTTCCTCCACTCTCTCTTTTTACTTGATGGCTCCTCGATTCATTCCATCAATGATCTCCATGATTCGATACTAGCCCAGCGGCTGTGATGCTGCCTTCATCCTTCATATTCAAGCGCCAAGAGTTCCCATATCCAATCAGTTTTGAAGGGATGACTCTAGCATAGAGCTGGTGGTTTCTTCTGCTACATAAGGCTAAGACACGAAGATGGCGACCTAAATCGAGGAGCATCATCTTCTCCCTCAGAGCTAACCATTGCTCCCTTCTTTTCCCTTCCCCGAAGCCCTTTCTTCTCTCAGATGTCTCTGATCTTCTCATTCTCCCTCGTCCTTGCCTCAGATTCGTTTTCTTCATAAAATTAGCAGCGACAAACCATGGTGGGTGGCTCTCATACTTTGTGAAACATCTATGTTCATTTATTTGGCTTCCAATATCAATTTGTTGGTTGTTAAATTTCTTTGTTTTCTGTTATTTTATAATAAGTTGTTCTGTCTCTTCACAACACAGAGGAGTGCATTTGCCCTATTGCATGGTGGAGGATATTTCTATCGATTACCAAAGGTATTGGCTCATTTATTTGGTTTCCAATGTCAATTTGTTGATGAAAAAATTTCTGTTATTTTTGTTATATAATAAAATTGTGTTTCCATCTCATGTATGCAGATGTTGATAGAGGAGACTAATATTTTTGAATATGAGGAAGCATCAATAGTTTCTATAATTTCCGTTATGTTCTTTTAACCGATAGATATGCTGTTAACATCAGCCATGATGCCTCTTCCTTATGTTCCATGGAAAACCATAATTTACATTTGTACGTACTAGCATGATGTTCAGTATTCTAATTTTTTTCTGCTCTTTTTTGCCTCTTTCTATTACTGTTCATTATTTGCTGTGCATTGAGCTTGGAGAATTATGTCTATAGGGCTCTGGCTGGTGCAAGAAAGAAGCATCATTGCAGAAAAAGGATGCTCAATTGCATCTTGAAGTTCAGAAACTCGCAGAGGTGTCTTTCAATCATATATTTGATGTGTAAATTGTTTTTATTCATTAAACTCTTATAATTTCAGCAAATGTATGTTTGCTTTCTTTTTTTTTTTTTTTGGCACATTATTGTCTAAACCCCACTTACTTGCTGAGGTGCCGAGCTTTTACTAGGGGCCTCCTCCTCCAAAGGTGGAGTTAAAGGAGTTGAGTTTCTTAAGATGAGTTTCTTAAGAGTATGCAGCTAGGTTAATTACATAGCTCTCTTTCTGTAGTAGTGCATTTTCCCTTAATTCAAAACATTTATCATTTCTTTAAGATCTTCATAATTTGTTCAAAAAAAAAAATGAATGTGCAGGCATACCATAACTGTCTTGGTAAAGTTGAAGCTAACAGATAAATCCAACAGCTTATTGCTTCAGCAAGGGAGCCTATTAGAGACTTAAGTGTATGCATACACTGGGATCTTGGGAGCTTCTGATTATCCTTATGATTTTCAGTTATTGATTGTTATTTCTCCTCTCTGCAGCTTGAAAATTTATTCCTAGATTCTCCAAGAAATATAAAGATTTCAGCTTTGGGGCTCCAGACTATGTAGTCCAAGGGGTAAAGTTGAAGTTGGATCTGGTGCTTAGTCACAAGGATTGCAATGGAGTAACGACAGATGTTGGGTCTTGTGAGGTTATTCTATATGTCTTGACTGCGGGATATCTACCCTTTGATTAACTGGATCCAACTATCTTTTATATTAAGCCATGAACTTAAAACATTCAATTATATATACTATTAAGAGAGTTGATCTACCGGGTGCCTTAAACATAACAGAATTGAATCACTTCACCTATCATTTTCTTTGTTTCTTTTTTCCTATTTCAAATTGTTTAGCACATAATTTCCCTCAATTCTCATTTTCATTTGTTTCCTCAGAGTTTCACCCTCTTTAGTTCTGCATTATATGTATTATGTTCTATTCTCCCTCATGCTGGGTTATCAATGTGTACATAACCACAGGTTAGGAGGTTGTCAAAGAATCAAACGGACATTGATGATCTCTTCATGATCACACCTATCAATGGGAAAAGCAACGTGGCTATCTTGTGTAAATGTTCCTCATTCAATGACTCATGAAAAGCCCAGTTGGTCAAAAGTTCTTTATGAAAGTGTCATATAATATTCTATGGAATAACAACGCATCTTCAAAGTTTGGGCTGCCTTTGAATAGATTCATGTTTTTGGGGTATGTAGATATTAAGTATAACTTGCCTCTTTTGTAAAAGACTCATTCTCCCATTGAAGATACCCGCAAAAGTTCACAGGATTGGAGCGGTGCTCTCATGTAGGCATTTTGGCTGCAATGGTAGGCTGCTAAAATATGACAAATGTTGATGGCAGGCCCTGCAAATTAAAAGGAGCCCTTTATGTTTCTTCTTTTTATCTCTAAATTGAAAGGACGGATCATGTTGATAACAATGTTAACAGCTAACTTTTTCTTTTAGGGCAAAAGTAAGATTTTTTTTATTGCATATGTAGTTACGATAATATAATCTAATGATTTTTCCTCTTATTCATCAGTCCTCAGGCTAATAGGCTCCAAAACAGGCCTGGCCTGTTAAGAGCAAAGCCTGGCCTGGCCTGGCCTGTTTCCACCCTTATGCGTGGTAGTGAAAATGAGTGTTTGAAGTTTGCAACCAATACTGTTAACAAGGAGACATTGTTATCATGTTGAAAGAAATTCAAGAGATTTGTTTTTATTTTAAGATAATATTTTTAACTTGAAAGATATAAGTTCTTTTTGTAATTAAAATAAAAATAAAATAGCTTCATATATCCTATATAAATTAATGCACCGCTTTACTCGATTTCTTATCTGACCTGGTCTTTAGGCATTCAGGAGTTCGTTTCTCCAAAACAATAAATACATTCAAAATCTTCTTGTCACTAGAACTATCTCTAGTGGAAAAAATCTTCTCATCAAGTTCAACCTTTAACACTCATCGAACATTTTTTGCTTAAAAACACCAAACTTAGTGGCTGCCCCACCAAAAACAACCAGGGTAAAGTGAGCTTCATGCAAGCAAAAACCATGCGGACCATATCCATATGGTAACTAGAAACACAAAGGAATGTGACGTTAGAAAAGAAATCATGCTAATAGACTTCCCCTTAATTATACTTACCCCATACTATGCAGTCTCCCTTACCATCAGGTCATAGTTACTTTTTGGGCATAAATAGCAAGGACTTTGTCTTCTCATTATCCATCCGACATTATGTGTGCTATGATATTTTTATAACTTTGAAAGCTAAAGGTATCAAGTACAATTAATTTTTTAGTTTCAATAATTTTATAAGTTTGCTTCTTATTGATAATCAATTTATTTGTGTTAGTTGTTTAGATTTTTTGATTTTTGAATAAAAACTGGAAGCTAAGAACATCAAAGAAAGGCACAACGGAAACAAAAAACTACCCAAAAAAAAAATAAGAATCCTAAAAGGAAAGCATAACCAACACCCTTCATCAACCTCTACCTAAAGGATCAATAGGTGGAGAATCACCAAGGATATAAAATATGTTATTACTACTATGAGTAGGTTTCACTAAATGATCAGCACAAGAATTGTTTCAACTTTTTTTAGAAGCACTTTTCCTACATGTTAATATTACTTTCTTAATATTTTTTAATTAGTTTGAGTACATCAATCATGATGTTGAATCAGCATTTTACCGGTTTATATTATTTGAAAAGAAATATTAAAAATACACTTCTCAGTAAAGAATTGAAGTTGAATAAATCTTTTATATGAGTTAGAAGCATGATAGGATGAAAAACATTTGTGCAGAATGGCAAAAACTATTGTAAAAGATTAACTACTATTCGAAGATGTAGGAATTTGCAAATAATGACATCCAAATGTAAAGTGGAAGTATAGTCGTAAAAGATAAGGTTAAATACATAATATGATTGTTACAGTGCATTCAAGGCTAAAATGTCATAACTCCTATCTAATTAATACTAAGAAGTTATTTTAAATTAATTTAATTAGTTTGCACAAGCTACAAATGTAATGAAACAAACACAATCATTTAAATATAGTAGTTAATAATATAGTGTAGTGAATTCATAAAATGTTTTGAATTATAATAATATAGTTATTTGCGGTGGAATGTGAGTTTCTTTAACAAATTAAAATTAAAAAAATTCTTAATTATGAGCTCCGCGCATCGCGCAGGAAGTACTTGCTAGTTTATTAGATAAATGATCCTGTGGCTTGGCATTCTCACATGGATTTCTCATTTTTCCCCCGCTAAAAAATGAACTGTTTCTGTTGGGTTGGTAGGTGTAATGGCTAATGATCTTGCGCTGAAAATTGTGGGTTTTATTTTGACAAAAGCGAAGTGTTATTGACTTATTGTTAAACGTGACCCTGGCAAATTTGGAACTGCCAACTTGAAGCAGACAATTTTCAACACAGAGGTACTTGATACTGATTTTTTTTTTTAAAAAAAAAAAAATTCTCCAGGGATGCATAATTTTCAACATGTTTTAAGTCCTTTTCGAACTCCAGAAAGCAGAACAAAGACGGAGAAGACAAAGCGTGGTCATTGTAATTTTTTTTTTTTTTTCCTTAAGAGAAGATTTAGAAGGATAGTTTTAACCAAGTGCATATGAAGAATGTGCTACGGATTCTGGGAAAGACTGTTTTAAAATTAATTTTACTCACTAGAGTATTAAAAAAAAATTTGTAAACAAATATTAGGTAAAATGCCTCATTAGAATAATTGTTTTAGATATAAATACATACATTATTCAGGGGTGAATTAAATAATATTATGTTAGCTGGCAAAAATAGTAATTAGAAAACTTTTAAGAGTTAAAAGATTGAGATTGGTGAAGTTATTGAAATTTTATCTATATTTCATCAAATTTTAATATTTGGACCAAAAAACCTAAACCTAGATGAATCCTCAATTAACTCCTTAGATGATTAGCGCCCTTGTTCTTTCTCTTTCCTACGTTTCGTTCTCCAATTTTCCTTTCCCATCAGTTTTTATCCCAGTTGCTTTCTTTCTTTTCTTTTCTCAATTGTATACATATACCAAGTCTTTTTATTTTTCTACTCCTAATCAATATATATTTATATATATATGTATACTCTTTCAGTCTCAAATATAAGACTCATGTTTTAGTATAAAATACCATGTATATATATCATCATATACTCTTAATCATTTTATTTATAAATCACTGCCAATATATTTTTTCAGAACCCAAAAAAAAAACTTTAAACCTTTATAACTCTGTCTTAAAATTTAAACATTTAAAAATTTTATCTTTATATAATATATGCATTTTTTAAAAATAGCATTCTGCTCAATAATAAATAAAAGTAAATTTAAACTAAATATTTAATCATTTGATTTATAAAAAGGATAAAAATTCTTCTAGGAGTATATTGTCAATTCATGTACTCTCTCATCAACTACGCCATCTTCTTCCTTTTCTTTGTTACTCTCTACTTTTCTTTCTTCCCATTTTCCTAAACCGCCAATTTAGACCTGCCAACTAGAAGTAGTGGAATTTGAACACGTTTTTCTTTAAGTACCTGATAATTATTATTTTCTTCTTTTTGATTATTTCTCAAGACATTTTTGTGTCCTTAATCAATGAATGAACTTACCAACTGATTCTACCTATAAATTTATTTAATAACTTAGAAGCAGTACTGTTTTATCCTGTAAGCCTCATCCTATGCCTTTGGGTAATAATAACATAGACTTTCATGGAGGTTCAGGTTCCTATTTCTTTCTTCTTCACCTTTTTTTGCTTTTTCATAGTTGTATTAAGCATAGTTAAAAGACCTCATTCCAGAAAGTCCCTCAGAACCCTACCACCAGGACCATGGAAGATACCTCTCATAGGGAATTTACATCAGTTTGTAGGATCACTACCCCATCATTCTCTAAGAAAATTGGCAAACAAATATGGACCCTTAATGCATCTTCAGCTTGGAGGAACTTCAAACATAGTAATCTCATCCCCAGAAATGGCCAAAGAGATCATGAAGACCCATGATGCCATTTTCTCTAACAGACCATATTTTCTTGCTTCAAGAATTATTTCATACAATTCAACCAACATTGGTTTTTCTCCTTATGGAAGTTACTGGAGGCATCTGAGGAAAATCTGCACTGTGGAGCTATTATCAGCAAAGAGAGTTCAATCATTCAGTCATATAAGAGAAGAAGAAGTTTCTGCCCTTGTTAGGAAAATTTCTGCAAATGAAGGATCTGTGATTAATCTCAGTGAGTACCTTTTCTCACTCACGACTGGAATAACTTCAAGAGCAGCTTTTGGTAAGAAATGTGGAGACCATGAAGCTTTCTTATCAACAATGGAAGAAGCTTTAAAGCTGGCTGGAGGTTTCTCTGTTTCTGATCTGTTTCCTTCTGTCAAAGTTCTTCCATTGATCAGTGGGATGAGAGGCAAGCTTGAGAGGCTTCACAGGGAGCTTGATAGAATACTTGAGAACATAGTCAAGGATCATAAAGAGGAAAAGAGAATCCATGGCCAAGCTGAGGAAGATCTAGTTGATGTTCTACTAAAGCTTCAACAGCAGAATGATCCTCATACCCCTCAGCTTACCGACAACAATATCAAAGCTGTTATTCTGGTTAGTACCTTATTTCTTCATTAATTATATGCTAAAAATGTTACATTCGAGGAAAGAGATGAAGAAGCCCCACTCAAATATTTATCAGTAGCCTTCAGATCCCATTTTGATTATACTTTTATAGGCTGTTTTGTTTAGATCATCTCTTTGAAATTATTAATAGCATATTGCACAAAGAAAATTTAGTAAAAAATAATATAAGATGCTACCTTTAATAGAGGACAAGATTTTCTTGAAAATAGCATCCAATATGCCTTAGACATTTCTTCAACTATGTTTCTGGTTGATTTGCCAATCTTTACTCAATCAGCTTCATCCATAATCAGGACATTTTTGGAGCTGGAACTGACACATCATCAACAACCCTAGAGTGGGCAATGTCAGAAATGCTGAAAAACCCAAAGGTTATGGAAGAAGCACAGGCAGAGGTAAGAAAGGTATTCAGAGAAAAAGGTTATGCCTCTGAAGCAGACCTTCAGCATTGAAATATTTAAAGCTGGTCGTTAAAGAAACTCTTAGACTACATCCACCAGCAGTACTGCTACTTCAGATATGAGATACCTGCTAGACGAGGTGATTGTGAATGATAGGAAGAGACCCCATGATTTGGAATGAAGCTGAGAGATTCAGATTTGTTGATAGTCCAATTGATTTCAGAGGAAGAGACTTTGAATACATACCATTTGGGGGCGGAAGGAGGATATGCCCAGGAATCACTTTTGCCACAGCTCTTATTGAGCAGGCACTGGCTCAATTGCTTTATCATTTTAATTGGAAGCTTCCCAATGAAATGCAGATTGAAGAATTTGACATGACTGAGTCCTTTGGTTCCACAGTAAGAAGAAAAGACAAGCTCTTAGTAATTCCTATTGGTTGTTGCAACTAAACCCATATCAAGTCCAAAAAGAACTACAAGGCTATATGTTTGGAGTGGTAATTTCTACCATATTATGCTAGAATAAAATTGGGCAATTTCTTAGATCATTGTGGAAATGCGTTTAGTCCATCGAGTACAAGGAAGTAAAGTTTACATGGGAATCATCATCAATCAACAATAAATGTAGAATTTATAATTATGCTATTTATGATATATATATATATATATATATTTGGATATTTTGCGTTTGTTTTCCTCATAATTATTTTTTCTAACAAAAGAGACTAGTGACCCACAACTTGGTGAACTAAGGTTTGAATCTCTGTTGGGAAAGATACCCATATTTAGTATATGATAGTGTCTACAAAGCAAACAAGCAAAAAGAAAAGAAACCACAATTAAGGAGAAATACTAGTTATTTGACCCAAAAAAAAAAAAGAAAAGAAATGCTACTCCCTCTGTCCATGATACAAGAAGTATTGTAAAAAAATTTTGATCCAAAGTATAAGTATAAGAGATTAACAAGTTAATAATGATAATTTTCACTTTTATCTCTTATTATACTGAGAAAAGATATTAGAGAATTTTTCAATCAATTTTTTAATAATAGAAAAATAGGTAACTTTATGAATTTAAAACAAATTTTAAAACTTAGCTAACATTCCTTAATTTATAAAAAAGCCTCACCATAATCTTATATTATGAACAGGAGGGAACAATAACAATGGGGTTAAGTTGAAAGATCATAAGCCTCGGTTTGATTTACTTTAGGAATTGTTTGGGTTGGAGACTTGGAGTTTGGGGTGGTCAAAACCGAAATTTTGAAGGTGAAAAAGCAAGTGGGACTTTTTTTTTTTTTTGGGTTTCAAGGGAACTAGGGGGTACATGAGGCCCAAATACCGCAACCCAAGCCCAAAAAAAAATGTCCAGCCCAGCCGAAAAAGAGTGTGCATCTTTGGGTTGGGCATTTCATGGCAGGGTTAGGCATGAGCTAAACATGCTGTCATGCCCATTTGGCCTTGCCCGAATTATATAATACTACTCCGATCTTTAATATAGAATCCAATTGTTAATTGATTTTGGTCCTAAATATAAGACTCATTTATCATATTTATCAATTTTTTCTAAATTACCCCTATGGATACTCCCTCAACCATAATTAAGTAGAAAAGGAAGATAGAGTATTAAGAAAGATAATATGGTATTTAGAAAAAACATGTCATATTTCTTATAATTAATTAACCTACCTAACTTTCTTAATCTAATCTAAATTGGTTAAATAGGTCTTATATTAAGGGTCGAAGGAGTATAATTTATGAAATAATATTAATATATTATATTTCTCTATTGAAAAAAAAAATTTATCTCCCTTCTCTTTGTAATTTAATTTATTATTGTTACATGTCTGTTATATTTCCATTTTAGGGAATTTAATTCTTCTGAAGTAGTACTAGTATCTTGCTTTTAACTTGTTTTTCATGAGCTTCATTAGATATATCCTATTGTATGTTTCTATTACAATGTTGGCTATTTATAAATCAGCTTTTCCCGCTATATCATTAACAACTTTTCTTTATTAGAGAATGGAGTTTATACGTTACATATTTGTATAAATCAACAATTTTGAATATTTATACAAGATACAAAATAAGATTGGGGTTGGAGCAAGGACAAAAAATTGGGGTTTAATTATTTAAATTACATTTTTTAATTTAATTTATATTTAGTTATTTTGTATTAATTTTTTATGAACAAGTCATATGATAGAAGAAGTCTTTTAATTGTGTGGACTGCTAACTATATTGTATCATAGAATAAGTGTTTGCATATTAAAAGTGGTTATATTAAATTATTATAAGATTTTAAGATTTTTTATTTTTCTTTTTTTCACCATATTTTTTGTATAATCTATATTATTCTTGTTAGCCCATTGCTTCAATTTTAATATTTTTTTGCAATCCTTTAGGTAACATTTAATTTTTACCGCTTGAATGAATAATCAAACTTCTATTACATTGACATCCACAGCCCTCAACGAAATATCTCAAGGTGCTTCAATAGCTCTTGATTTTTTTCAGATGCTTTATTCTTTTCTCAACTTTGTGGAGATTGATACAAACTGTTTGAATTTCAAGGCTTTAGTTACAATCTTGAGTTGTTTTGTTCTAAATGGATTACAAATATTATTTATTTGGATATTTGTTAAGACTTGTTTTGGAATGATTTCAATGTGAGAAAATGTAAAATTACAAATTTTTAGGTATGGACGAAAGCTTTTTTACATGTGATATTAGCAGGCTATTACCATTCGGGCAGCGAAGCCCGCCCTGCCCAGCCCACTCATGCCTAGTCCAAAATGGTTAGGGCTTCTACGGACAAGGTCAGGCAGCGGGCTACAAAATACAGTCCGCTCATATTTTGGATAGGGATCTTGCCCTACCCAATCCTGCTCATCTGCATCCCTAATAGGAATGAGTGTTAAAAGTATAACATCCCCCCAAAAAAACACTAAAGTTTAAGTCAAAATTACCTTTTTTGGGCTTATGGGTTCCGTTAAACTAAAATTATCTTCAAGACAAATGAATTGTGTTAGTGACATTCAAACTTAAGTTCAGAAAATTTCAGTTTGTGAAAATTCTTGTTTTGTAAAAAATGATCCAAATATACCCTGCATTTATTGAGAATATAGCTGATTAGGACATGTTACTAGACTCAATGAGTACTTTTAAAAGTATTTATAAATCATCTATCAATACAAACTTTATATTGTCAATATGATTTGAATTCACTCATAAATTGAGTCAACTCTTTCTTTGACTATTGGCCTAATCCCACCATCTAGTCTTGCATATCAAACCGAACCTTGTTTCTTTTTTTTTTCTTTGGAAGCTTTGGTAAATAAAAAAAAAATGTAAATACTACTCTAAGTTACAAAAAAGAGAACAAACAAACGAAAATCGTCCGAAGGAATCATGTGAAATCCAGGAGGCATTACCAAAGCTGGGTTAGCCAGCATATTAACGTCAAAGTTCTTCTTTTATTGTATTGAAGATTAACAAAACCAATCAGATTGGAGCATTGCATGACTTTCTAGGACGTTATTTCCTTTTATTAGAATTAGAGAAATAGATACTAATAATTTGTCCCATGAGATTTGTGTTAACATCAAATCACGAACTCCACTTGCAAGAGATGAGAGAATGTTTATGGTACTCTTAATCTCATCCTTGACATGATTGGGTGCATCTACAACCTAAAATATTTTGTCAATATCACTTAATATTTAAAAATAATTTTCAGTGCAATTTTTCTATTAAAATATTTTTTAAGAGTAATTTTACTGTCAAACATTTAAAAACATGCAATTTGCAAAAAGCTAGTTAAGTTGCATTCTGTACCTTAACATATTTTCTCAACAAAACCCAACATCTTAAATTTTTTTGGGGTGCGATTTTGCATTCAAAGATTTTTCTAAGCTAATTTTTTATCACTTAATTTTTTTCACATTTTCAGTATTTATTTTTCGTATTTTTAATACTCATTGCTAAAATTTTCAATAATAAGTTTTTCAGTTTTTCAACAACCATCTTAAATATTTTCTAGGGAAAATGACAATAAAATACCACCTGAATTCTAAAAAGACAAATAAGGGACCTGAATAAGCAAAATGACATATAGGGGACTGGGTACCAATCTGGAATTCAGATTTTTGGCCAAAAGACCAAAATGCCTGTCTGAAAGTGAGAGAAAGGAGAGAGGAAGAAAGCGACGCAGTGAGAGAAAGGAGAGAGGAAGACCGACGGTGATGAAATGCGGGAAGAAGGAAAGAAGAATGTTGGAAATGCTATTATCTTACTCCTTCGCATCACCATTCTGTAGAGATTGTTGATTTGGTGGGTTTTGGTTGTGGGAAAGAGGATTTGTAGTGAGAGAGGGAGTGAACCTACGGGGAAGATGAAGTGGAAATTAGAAAACAATGACAAGCAATTACGTTACGTAACTACTGTCATATGTCTGCTGGTTTTTGGTAAATCCCACTACGTGAATGGTAAATCCCACTATGTGAATGGTAAATTTTACTATACATGTAGTTAATTATGAATTTTACAAAATACATATTGTGATTTACAACTTTTGTAGTGAAAGTGACTACTTTGTTAATGGGTTTTGCAACCTGTTTTCAGGAGATAAACAACTTGTTTGTAAAAACTAATAAAATTTCACGCTAAATTTGACAAAACGTATAGTGGGATTTACAACTTCCGTAGTAAAAATGACCACTTATTCAATGGGTTTTGTAACTTGTTTTCAGGAGATGGACAGCTTGTTTCTAAAAACTAATAAAATTTCATACTAAATTTGACAAAACACATAGTGAGATTTACAACTTTCGTAGTGAAAATGATCACTTCTTCAATGGGTTTTGTAACATGTTTTCAAGGGATTGGCAACTTGTTTCTAAAAATCAATAAAATTCTATGCTGAATTTTACAAAACAGAGTAATATTTACAACTTTTGTAGTGAAAATTACCACTTCTTAAATGAATTTTGCAACTTCTTTTCATGGGATGAGCAACTTGTTTCTAAAAATCAATAAAATTTCATGCTGAATTTGACAAAACACATAGTGAGATTTACAACTTTCATAATGAAAATGATCACTTCTTCAATGGGTTTTGCAACATGTTTTCAAGGGATTGGCAACTTGTTTATAAAAACCAATAAAATTATATGCTGAATTTTACAAAACATGTAGTGAGATTTACAACTTTCTTAGTGAAAATGATCACTTCTTAAATGGGTTTTGCAACCTCTTTTCAGGGGATGAGCAACTTGTTTCTAAAAACCAATAAAATTTCACACTGAATTTGACAAAACACACAGTGAGATTTACAACTTTTATAGTGAAAATGACCACTTCTTAAATGGCTTTTGTAACCTGTTTTCAGGGGATAGGTAACTTGTTTCTAAAAACCAATAAAATTTCACGTTGAATTTTATAAAACATATGCTGGGATTTACAACTTTTGTGATAAAAGTGACCGCTTTGTTAATAGATTTTGCAACATATTTTCGGGGGATGAGTAACTTACTTTTCACCACCAATAAAATTTCACGCTGAATTTTACAAAACACATAATGGGATTTACAACTTTTATAGTGAAAGTGACCACTTCTTCAAGGGGTTTTGTAAACCTGTTTTCACCGGAAGAGCAACTTGTAAGCATAAATAAATCATTCAGTAAACGTGCACCTGAAGTACATCACAATAAACATTGAACTATTAAGTTTCATAATTAACTACATGTATATTAAAATTTACCATTCACGGAATGGGATTTACCATTCACAGAATGGGATTTACCAAAAACCAGCAAACATATGACAGCAATTACATTACGTAATTGCTTGCGACTATTTTCTGATTTCTGCTTCATCATTCACCAAATACTGAATATGAACCCTCAAATGCAATAATCCTGTTCCTATTTCACCATGAAACAGCCACAAAAATGAATAATCCAAATCCCGCCATCAACTTCTACTCACTCATGAATAATTCAAATACTTCAGCGACCTCTTCGACGACGACAATTTCAGGGGGTACAAGTTATTTCAGACAGGGTAATGTATTGCAGCGATGGTAACCAAATTCAGCAATGGCAATCTACTCCTACGACGACGGCAACGTGATTTCGAAAAATCCTTTTTGGTGACTGCAGGAACTTGGATGTAGTTTCGTAGAAGAAAATCAGTTTCTCCCTTTCTCTATCGCATGAATTCACTGCTCAATGTTCAGAGACAATCAGGGCAATTCGGTCTTTTGGCCGAAAATCTATATTCCAAATTGGTACCCAGTGCCCTATTTGTCATTTTGCTTATTCAGGTCCCTTATTTGTCTTTTTGGAATTCAGGTGGTATTTATTGTCATTTTCCCTATTTTATACTTGTCTTTATATTTTCAACCCAAATTTTTAATTAGGTTCAGTATTAAAAATATGAAGGTAAGTACCGGAACACATGAAATATGACCGTAAATATTTAGGAAGATCATTGAAAAATTGAAAATTCGAGTAATAAAAATATAAAAATTGTGCATTGAAAATAAAGAAGGTGAATGCAGAAGAAAATTAATTAGGACTATTTTAATTAGAGTTTTTTAATTCCTAAATATTTATATTTTCAGTACACATTTTTCACGATTTCATTACTTAACTTTCCATTTTTTTTTGAGAAAATTGAGAATAAATTCCTGCTTAAAAAATTAATTAAGCAATAGTACCTGAAATGTTCAGGTCATTGAATGTAATTTAATATAAAATTGCACCGTTTTTAAAAGTAAAAAAGTTAGAAGCATGCTGCAAATTAGGAGGATAGTTGAGCTGAGAAGAAAAATATTAAAAAAAAATAAAATTCTTCTGAAAAATATTTAAAGACAAAATGGCGCTAAATTTGATTTTCCGCGAATTTGAGATCAAACGAATTTTTCCGCGAAGCAGAGGAGCCGTCATTTCCCTATTCCTCCATATCAGAAGCGCTAGCATAGAATTCGACGTGCCTCCTCGTTTGAGTGGGGGCTTCCTCTTCTTTTTTCCTTCAATTCCGCAGTTCTGTCAAGAGTGAATCTTAAGATACCTTCACTGATCTGTCACATTTTGATCCTTCGGGAATAAACATGGAACCTGTGTCCGCCCTCACGCCCGATTCTGATGGCGATGAAGATAAAAATTGTTTAATGGCAATGAGCGTAACGGAGCTGATTTCAATATTACGAACTGCATATGGTACGGTGGATTATGATCGCGTGGAGGAAGTTTTGATCGATAACGAAACCAAACTAAAGGCTGAGATTGGGGTACTCAGGGAGAAATTAGAAATGGAGAGGTTACAGAGGATGGATGTCGAAGAGCAATTGAAGAAATATAAGGAGCAATTTGAGAAGGGAAAGAAAGCTGAAGAGACATATGAGAAGCTGTTGCAAGCGGTTAAGAAGAAAAATGCCTTGGTTGATGGAAATGCTATTACTGAGCTTGGGAATAAGAACCGTAAATTAGAGGATGAAAAAGGCAAGGCTGAATCTAAGATGGAGTCGTGGAAGAGGAAGTGTGAGGAGTTGAATGAACGTCTCTTGATGCTGGAGAAAGGCGCCAAATCATCCACGAATGGATATACTCATGTTGAAATTAGGGGAAACGCTGAGATCTATCTGGGGTTCGAAGAAACACTGATCAAGCCATAGACGAAATGGTGCTGAATGAAGTTGTTATACGTGGCCGTGAGAGTGGAAATCCCCTGCAAACTCCCCTCCTTCACAGAGAAAGACGGAGTTCGTAAATTTAGCATCAGGTATGGAAATTTAGCATTTATCTCTTTTAGCCATACGGATGTGGTACGTTCAATTCTCAATCTCTTGAAAGTAAAAGATATTTATTTATTTTTCAAATTTTCTGGGGCTGTATTCTTTTCATTTTGTGATAATTATCTTTCATTGTGAGTGTTTTGTGACGTTCATATTAATTTTAGTTGGGTTTAGCATGTTGTGAGGAGTGTTAGCTTGTTAATCTAGGAGATGATTGAGTGCTGAATATTCATTATTTTTTGTGTGAGTGTTGCGCCGCAAAAAAAAACAGAGAGAGTAGTTTTAGCCTCTGGAGCAATTCATAAGGGCAGCCTTTGTAGAAGTGTGGAGGGTAGTATTGTACCACCATCGTGCAGGATGCAGCCGCCAACTTCAGTCCTCCCAACATACGGGCCTCAAGTATGTTTCCAGGCAACGGTGCACACTTTCAATTGTCCATCCTTTTGTGGATGATAAGTGGAAGTAGGCTTTTATTGGACACTCAATATTCACAAAATCTCCCTGCTGTTGCTTATAAAGATAGGACTACTGCCACTTATTCCTATCAGTGCACCATGGAGTTTATAAAGAGTAGAATTTGTTGTGCCAAAAATGGTGAAGTGCCTCTTGTATAACCCTTCATTGCAGCAGTTTCCCACCATGTTTTCTGGCACATCTTTCTGAGCTGAAGGGTATAATGCTTAATACTGTACTGGCGAAAAAAAGGGGCGTAATATTGATATGGTTAGTCCCTTCTTGAATAATACAGGGGGTGGTTATGTGCTTCTCTCAACAGTGTTAGTCCTTTGGGTTTAGCAAAGGCATATGTGTAATCTTCAAGTAAATTAGCTACACTCTTAGAAACTTCTTCATTTCTTTACCTTCTACGATAAGGCATTCTATATCTTCATCAATTTACTAATAGCAACAAAAGCAATTGACCGTTTGCCACACATTCACTGCCTACCCGCCAAGTGCTGGGGACATGACATTTAACTTATAATTTAAGCATTTATCCTTAAAAAACATTGTACTATCGTTTGATGATGAAATACTTTTCTTAACAAATTGTAGGACACAACTGTTGAAAAGCTACCCGAAGAGGGGTCCTCTGATGAAATGGTTATTGATGGGCGAGGTGATATTTCAGCACAAGCCATGGGAACTCCAGAACCCTCTGAACGAGTCTGTGGGATGGGGTCGTGGCCCATCCTAACCCAGATGTTAGGTGATTATGTTTCACACTATTTAACACCATCAAATGAGAAAGTAACTTCACTTGGTTAACAAGTAGAAGATTTCAAGGCATTGAATTCAATGCTTACGCAGCTCATGAAGAATCAATCGAGTTGTAGTCATCCCTATAGTTAAGAAAATGGGTCCAGTTAAAAAAGGTAGCCTTATTTAGCCTGTCAAAAAGAGCGAGCTGGGTGGGTGAAATTGTGGCCAGGCCATAAGCCCTAACTCATGGGTCTGCATACAAAGCCCCAAAACCCCCCCAAAACAAAACAAAAATGATAATAATAAAACCCCTCTTTTAATTATTTGTGTTGTATTGAAAGCTTGACAGACACGAATTTTGAATATGACAAGCGAAAATATACTTACAACATACTATGAATAATTATAAACAAGAGTAACCAATATAAAATAATGTTACTTTATCCTACTAGAAACTTGAATAATGTTGAGGTGTGGGGAAAGATGTGTTCTTTTATAACATCTACAATAATTTATCCTTTAATTGTTTAACAAATATAGAGACACCTGATGGAAA